TTGACCATGGATTCTCTCTAATATATTTTCTAATCAAGAGGTCTAAGTTTGAATCATTAAGCATATATGGTATAACGATGATCTAACAGAGAGAGAATCCAAGTTGACCATGGTGTGTGTATAATTATCAAGCTTGAGCATGATGAAAGTTAGGTCAACATACAAGTACTTATAAACCATTCAAAGTTTTTAGGAAAATTTGATCAATTATCTATCACCTTAATTTATTTATGTAGGTCTCCGAAAGGATACTACTAGCAATGGTCAGAATGTAAAGAGTATGATCGCACTATCCCGCACGGTAAAATGAACGTATGCCTTTATACTCTATGCAAGCAGGCCAATAGAAAAGTATATGGGATCATACATATGATTAATCATAAAGGATATTGGCTTTCACCTACACACCTCAATAGATAATAATACGTATGACCCTATAATCACGAGATTTCCCCCATCCGATACATCAGCTTGAATGAGATTTATTTGATATGGGTGTCAGTTTTCCACGAGCGTAAGCCCCCGTCTAGGTCTCAACCTAAAAAAACTCTCGATTAAGGACATTATATTATTCTCTTCTTAGTTTGATGCATAGAGGGGGTTCCTAGGCTCTATTCTGAAAATGATAAGAGAAGAGCTGAAGATCAAATATATAAAATGTTTTCAAATATATAAAAATGAGAGGGGGTTCCTAGGCTCTATTATCTTTAGTGAGAATTAGATTTTAACAAAAAATAAAAAAAATTGATTATTTTGAGTTTAAAAGATCAAATATTGAATTCGATATCTTAGAATGAACTATAGATCTAGAATTCATCTAGTAGCTTATGCTTGCCTAGAGTGAGTTGTCGGCTAATATCCTAAACATAATCAATCGTCTTATGTATGTAAGATGGGAGGACTTTATCCTATGGATTCAGGGAATTTAATTCAAAGATTTAAATAATGAATATTAAGATATTGCAAATAAATGTATCTAACTTCATGTATGCATGAAGTGAATGCATAAATAAAATATTTTATTCATTTACTTGGAAATAAATATAACCTAGGGTATGGAAGAAAGTAAGGTGGCTAGAGCTGGAATAATTCTATAAGAAAATACTTTTAAATCTTTGCAACTCCTTACTCCTTACATTTACATTTGAGTCTTTGTACATATATTTACACATAACTACATTTTACTTTGAGTCTTCTTTTACAAACATCCCAGGTATATTCTACATTGCTCTGCTTTTTGTGTTAAATGAAATAACATGAAAATACACATATAATGTATGTATGATGTGATATTCAGAGTGCATAAAATAAATAAATAAACATACTAAGAATACTTTCCAGGCAAATGTGCCCGCATCACACCAAAACACACTACAACCTAACCTAAAAATAGAGTTAGTGACCCTAGCAATCAAATTCTAATGCGTGAAAAATGTCATGCATTTTTTATATGTCCTAGGAGTTTTATTTAACTTATTCAAACTTGAAGTTATTTGTTGGTTGAAAGCCAAGTGAGGTGTTGATTTGAATTTAAATTTTGATAAATGAAAATGTTATTAATATCTTTAAAATTTATTAATAGTTTATTAAGTGTCTTAAGATACATACCTTATAAATCCAATAAATATATGCTCTCCAAAAGAAATTAAGCATAACATATGAAGGCTTTGAAGTGTTTTTTTATTAATTTGGATTAATAATTACTTAAATTGAATAGTAATTACCTTTATTAAATCAGAGTTATGAGGTTTATTTCACCCTCCTTAAAGCTAACTTAATAGCCTTATAAGTCCGAGTTATCTAGTAATTATCTTGGTTAATTATTTCGATTATTTATCAAATTTTAAATTTATTTAAATTCATTAAGAATTTTTTAAGGTTTTATGATCAAATGCAATTGTGCCTTCTAAAGTAGGTGAACACAATACATAAAAGCTTATAGTTTATTTAAATTTTATTAAAGACCCCTCAAATTTAATGCATATATATCTTTCAAATGGAGTTAAATATAATGTCTATTGTTATCTACAATTTATTTATTAAAGACCCATATATCCAATGCTAATATGCCCTCAAACGAGTCAAACATTAAACATGAAAGATCCTTTAGTTATTTGTTTAGTATTTAACTAATGAAATTTATTTAATTAAATCAAGATTAATTATAAATTATGAGATTTTATCTTATTTGAGATTTTTAAATTGATTAACATTTTAGTTAATGTTATTTAATCATTTAAATTTAATGGTTTAATTTTATTTTAGAATTTTATTAACCTTTATTTTGCCTATTTAATTTCATTTAGAGTGTATTGTTAATTTATTTGATTTAGATCCATTAATATTTTTTATTTATTAATGTGTGATAAATTGAGATCATTTATATTTAATTATATTTTTAATCTTTATTAATATATTTATTTTATTATACACATTATGATTCATAACAATCAAAGAGAAATTTTTAAATGTGAAAAAAATAAATTAATGCTATGCATTCCTAATTTTGTTACTACCGAATAAAATCCTACTCACTAGCGGGTTCAAAAAATTAAATCCACGTTCCTACAAGGGCCTAAGGTTTAGGAATCCTAATCACATATAAGGCTTAGAGGACCTAGGGGGCTCTAAGTTTTAGAATTTATCTCATTGGAGCTAGGGATGTTAGTATTTGATATGACTTGAAAACCAAACTCAAACCCGACCCGAAAATTTCAGGTTAAGGTCAACCCAGACCCAAAATTAGTCGGGTTCGGGTTCAACAATTCGACCCATTTCAAAAATTAAGTCGGGTTTGGGTTGACCCTTTGACCTGAATATGACCCATTTTTTATCCCAAAACCCATTTTTGACGCAGAAATCCAAAATTGAATCGTTTTTGCCTGAAAAGTGGATATTGACCCATTTATTGACCAGAAAACTAGCAATTTTTTACTGCCCTGAGTCATTTAGGTCGTGTTAGGTTGACCCAGACCCGGGGTATGGTTCGGGTAAAAAAAATAACCTATTTGCAAAATTGAGTCAAGTTCGGGTTGACACGAATAGTGTCAGGTCAGTTACAGGTTCAACCCAAACTCGAACCCGACCCTTAACCCAAAATTGATACCCCTAATCAGAGCTAATCGACAATGCAACTGTATGTAACACCTCCATTTGGAAGAAATGGATGTAACTTCTTTCTCCCTAATTTGATATACGAGTAACCCCAAATGAATCTTGTAAAGAAGATAAGTAAAAGAAAGTAATTTGGAGTAGGCACCATTCAGAAAAAAAAAATGTAACTAGACAAAGAATTAATCTAAAACAACTATGATCTACAACTTTAGATTTCATCTTGGATATATAGAAATAGCGCATGAAATGAAAGAACATGTATAAGCAAGAGACATAAATAAGCAAGTGCAAATAGCCATTAAATAAAAGACATACATGATGCAATTTTCAGTTGAGTATGAATTTAATGATCATATGCTTTTAAATTGAATTTATACATGCTTGTAATCAAAACATAAAACAATGAAATCATATAGCATGGTTAAAAATCTTTGCATTACTATAACATCAAATATGCGTATATATACATTATTGCAATATACTTAACTCATCCATAGACTATGTTCACAAGTTATTGCAACAATATAACGTATAAATTTCAGCATAATCATGACATTTGAACTAAGTATATTGGCGTAGCTAGAGTTTACATGTGAGTACATATCTAAAAAAATCATGCTGCTTATCAAGATTGAATTTACACATTATTTAAAGCATGAGTATGTGAATAGAATCTACACATTGAGATAAGGCAATAAATACATGAATCTTCTCTAAAACTATATATGAAAAAATGGTATTTAAACACATATTTATAGATCATCGATCGTATAAGAATATATCATGAATTAAGTGCTATGTCTGGGATGTCATCAACAATTCAATGATTTTTTTTTAGATTCTATGCATAAAGGTATGATCCTAAAACAATATATAGAGTTTTTGTTCATGTTTCGAAACGTTCTCTAATTTTGATTTTAAACAAGTTGTATGCATTTCATGCCCAAAAAATGATAGGAGAAGACTTCATTAAGTAACAAATGTGGCTAACAAAAATTCTTACAATTTCTAAAAGGAAACCCATCACAAGCGAAAACATATTCTTTTATTGATTCTATACATATTCATGATTTAAAGATAAAATAAACAAAATTGTCTATCATAGTTTATTCATGCAAATCCCCTCCTCTTCAAACTAAAAGATCTTGGATTCGAGTCTCTGTATATAAATTGTATGTGAATTTGCTTCCAAAAAAAAAAAAAAAACGAAAACTCATGCGTTTAAGTGTCTTATTCTATTTTATAAATATTTTTCAAAAATACAAAAGAATCAAAAGATTAAATTTATACATCAAAATATCCGGTTAGTTGAGTTCCACATAGAGTTGACCCAATTAATTGTATTTAAAAGCAGGTCGACAAATAAGTCATTCTAAGCATAACCAAGTCACATTAAATTTACTAGGCCTGGTAGCTAACTAGGCCCAATTGGCCAACGTTCAAACATTTTTAAAAGTTCATCTCTAACACTTTAAAAATCAAAGTCAGCATACAACTTCACTTAGGCTTCGTTTGGGACGACTTTTTTATTGCTTTCTAAAACGAAATTTTAGTACAAAACTTTTTAATTTTGTACTACAACTCCATTTTAAAAAGCAATAAAAAAGCCGTCCCAAACGAAGCCTTAATTAAACATAACTTCTTAATGCACGTTTTCTATGTAAATTTTCTTGTAACATTATACATTGCCTTTAACTTATAATTAAGGGGCATGAGCCAAACACATGAAAGCATTTTACTAAAATCTCACATCTTATGCCATCTCATGAAATCTTTAATTTCTTGTTCATGATTACCTCTGTATTATTTTACCATTCTTATTAATAAACTTATTATATTATATACAAATTTTAATTCAACAAATTAAATGCTATAGAAACTGCAAGTTAAAAGTCATAAAGAGCATTTCACGTGATGAGTTTGGCTCTATTACATATTTATTTTGAATGTCATTTCATCCCTTTGCTCCACCTCCTGGGTATAAAGAAAATAAGCTGCACAACAACAAAAAACAGCCAAGGAAAAAAAAGCTTCCATAGAGACAATAAAGGGGAAGAGACGAATGTCTAAATGCACAGTCTGTTTACAACTCACTAACATAAGCCAAGAATCAGGCACAAGCAGCAAAAAACAGAAAGAGCAAGTATCATTTCATATTGCGTATGCTGAGTGCTATTCACAAGCCAGCTTGGTATCAAAACTACTCAGGCAAATAGCAAAAGCCTGGAAGGCAGAAAGCGGATACCGATAGTCCATTGTGAACATATCCTTTGCAACCTTACCAAATTGCAAAATGATCTTGTCATGATCTGATTGAGTTGGTTGAGCTGGTGTTGGAGCTCCAGCAGCAGGCTGATTGGAAGCAATGAGCTGGAAGTTCTTCACCGAAGCAACAGTGACACGTCCTCGAAAGTTAAGGCACCAGCACTGCAATTGTTCATGCCATCTCGGTGCCTTGTTGCGCAGCACTAATGGAGGCTCCTTGATCTCTTCACTATTAGTATCAGCCTGGATTGCTCCGCTGATATCAGAGAAGCGAGAACTACTGAAGTCCATAGAACGATCCATGACGGAAGACTGTGAAAATGACATGCTCCGAAAAGAATCCCCGAGATAGCGAGGAATTATGTGTTCGGGTTGACCAGGAACAATACCACCAATATCAAGGGCAGAAGCAGGTATTGAGTGCAAGATGCAATGCATGCGGCGAGGGCCTCGAGTGCCAAGTACATTCAGTTCATATGAGACCTGGGCTATGTTGTAGCTGCCAGTTGGTACTTTAGGTGAGACTTTCTTGGAGTAAAATCTGCGGCTTGTTGTCCCAGGATGGCATAGAGAGGCAGCATTATAAGGTGGCTGTGTATCACATACTATAAACTTCGTACCCAGAAAGTTTGATCTATGAATATAGGGGAAAAATCATCAGATGAAATAAAGAAAAAAAATTTATGCTGTATGTGCAGCAGATAGCAAGACTAAAGCATTCAGGATCAATCAATTACCTCAGCTTGCCAATGTAGGTGTTGCTTGACCTTGAGATGTTTTCGGGGTCCATTGAAATTACATATTCAGTGTAGGTTGTGCGTCGACTTCTTTTTGCTGACAGGAGAAACTTCCCATTCTCAACAAGTACAGCTACAAAAGTTGTGAAGATCGAGTTATCTATCATTATAGAAAGTGACGTAATGAAACTTGGATGACAAGGAACTCCATCATTGCAGGATTCATACAGTAAACAGAAATGGAATAAAGCATATGATGCAAGTTGATATGGTCAATTGAATGGTAATCTTGCAACAACGATATCAGGAACATTGTCCTAAATTTAGTACCTGATTGATTATTCACGAGAAAAAGTTGGAAGTGAAAAGAAAAGAATAAGTGAACTGGTTTTATTTAATTACTTCTACATTTGAGTGCTGATGCACAAACACATGCACAAATGCAATATGAAGACCTTGAATGTGGGCAGGCTTTCACACCAAAGAGATTGTTAGCCCCATGAGCCTTGGAGTAGGCCTATTGGATTTTGATGATAACAAAACACATGTTTGATGTATCTAATTTCTTCATTTTCGTGTTTCATGTCTTCACAGGTGATTGAGCTAAATCACAAAAGAAGTTTCTCAAGATGGTTTGAAGATGGGATTTGGAGTATTAATATCCATGTAAATACTTACAATAACTTAATCATAATAAATGCGCTTACAAATAAAATGAATTCATGCGTAAGTCATTCACATTATCATGCATTAGCAACTTTATTTTTACCTTCATTTGAAACTATATATGCTCTCTTGCTCATTTTATGTTTTGTATTCTATTTATGGTATGCTTTATAATCGATGTGTAATTTTATTACACTCAAAGCCTTATACTCTAGCATGCTTTATGATGTATATTCAAAAATCATGCCTTGCAATATCTTAAAAGAGAAGGAAAACTTTCCAATGTATAAATCACTTTACATATATAACTCATTGGCTAATGTCATATTATACATTAATTAATTTTCTCCTTGCATAATTACCTAGCTAACCTCTCTTTTTCTCATGTTTTAGCCAAATTCTTCATGGTGCATGTAGATTAGGAAACTTCCAAATGCATGTGGCCGGCCCCCATATCTACTTTCTTATAAGTTCAAGTGCTTAATTTTTGGGGCACACTTGATTACCTAATTAATTCAAATTAAAATCTGAGTTAATTTGATTAAGTCAAAGCCATCAATTTGAATTATTTCCTAATTATTTTTCCCCGCAAATTCCCTTGAATGCATTAGATTAAAACAATTTCATTTTCAATTCAGCCCTATTCTTATATGGTGGCTGAATTTTTCATGCTCTCCTCTCCTCTAGGAAAATTGCCACCATCTCCTCTACATCTCTATGTATTCCCTTCCAGTAAAGCTCGGCAGCTAATCTCCTGTAGGTCTTCTGCACCCCTGAATGACACCCAATTGTGCTTCCATGAAATTCCTGAAGTTTGTAATGTGGATCAAAGTATGAGGCATCATAAATCTCACCTGATATAGCAATCTGTCTCCCTCCAATGTGTACCCTAGGTGGCTACCCTCTTCTTTTAGTAAATCCAACCCGATCCTTCCCAAATCTTCATCTCTAGCACTTTCTTTTTTGATGACCTCCCAGTCAAGCATCAAAGGAACGATAGTGCCACTGTCTGCAGCTCCACCATACATCTAGTCAAGGCATGTGCCGCCTTATTCTCCACCCCTAGTCTATACTGAATCTCAAAATCGTACCCCAGCAACTTGGACAGCTACCTTTGATGCCCCTTATCACCATCCGCTATTCCAGCAGGTATTTCAAGCTCTGCTGATCTATCCTGAAAATAAAATGCCTCCCAAGTAGGTAGGGTAGTCACTTATGGATGGCCAAAACAATGACCATTAATTATCTCTCAAAAACTGACTTCAGCTTGGCTCAAAGAGTCAATACCTGGCTGAAATAGACAATGGGCTTAAGACTCTACATAAGCACTACACCCAACCCGTACCCAGACGCATGTCTCCACAATGAAGGTCTAAATGAAATATGGTAAAGCTAGGACCGGCATCGTAGTCATCTCCTTCTTCAAGCTCTCAAATGTTGATGTGGCCGCCTACCCCATAGGAACCCGTCCTTCTTTAACTGCTCAGTGAGTGGTCATGCTATTCTACTGTACCCCTTTACAAACCTCTTGTAGTAAACTATCAGTCATAGAAATCCCTTTAACTCCTTCAAATTTTTCGGCATTGGTCACTTTAGCATTGCCTCAATTTTGGACTGATCTGCTGCCACCCCTTCTTTTGATACAGTATAGCCCAAATACTCTACACTGACTTGTGTGAAGTAGCAGTTCTTCAAGTTGGCCCTCAGCTGGTGCTCCTACAGTACCTTTAAAACCCTTTTCAAATGCTCTTAGTACTCCTCTGTCATGCTATAGACCAGGATGTCGTCAAAGAATACAATACAAATCGTCTGAGATAAGGTTTGAAAACCTTAATCATAAGGGCCTAAAAAGTGGCGGGAGCATTGGTGAGGCCAAAAGGCATCACCAGGAACTCATACTGTCCTTCATGAGTTCTAAAGGTTGTCTTAAGAACATCCTCCTTCATCCGGATCTAATGGTAATCTGAGTTCAAGTTTATCATGCTGAAGATCACTGATCCACTCAATTCATCTAACAGCTCGTTAATGACTGGTATAAGAAAGTAAGAAACTTGTCAAGCATAGTTTCCTTATTGAGTGCTCTGTAGTACACACAAAAACGCCAGCTGCCATCCTTCTTTTTGCACCAATAGAACTGGACTAGATAAGGGACTGATGCTGGGTCTCATGATTTATGCCTCCAGCATCTCTCTAATCAACTTTTCGATTTCATCCTTATAGAACTGAGGGTAGTGATAACGTCGTACACTGATGGGTGACACTCTCTCCCTCAACATGATAGCATGCTCCTGCTCCCTCTGAGGTGGCTGAAACACCTCTTGGAACTACTGAATCAATGGCTAAATGGAGAGGGATATGTCCCCTCCCTCCTCTAATCTCGCTCCCTCCAAACTGTGCAACTCCACCAAATACCCTCCACCAGCAAACTAAATATCCCTCACCATCGTTTTATGAGAAACCAGGGATTTGGAAAGCCCCGCATCTCCCTTAATCACCACCTTCCTTCAATCTACCATCAACTCCATCGTGAGTGCTCCCCAATTTACTTTGGTATCTCCCAAAGTTCAAAGACATTTCATCCCCAGGATCACATCTATACTCCCAAGTTCTAGTGGAAGAAAATCTTCCATCACCTGAATCTCCTGGATCGTCAGTCGCACTCCTTTGCAAATCCCCTGGCCTTTCTCCACCTTCCCCATACCCATCATCACCCCGTAATAGCCAGTATCCACCAATCTCACTCCTAGTTGGTCGACGACCTAGGTGGAAATAAAATTGTTAGTAACCCCATTATCAATCAGCACCACCACCTCCATGTCCACTATCTCCCCCTTCACCTTCATGGTATGATTCGTAGTGAATCCTACCACTGAGTTCAGAGAAACCTCAACCAGATCCAAATGTAGCTTCTCCTCCATCTCATCCTCTATCTCCTCCTCACCTCCCTCAGTTTCGTCGTCATCACAGAAGGTGAGAACCTGATAAGTTCGTCCTTGCACAGATGCCATGGCATGTACTTTTTATCGCACCGAAAACATAACCCCTTAGCCCTCTTCTCATGCATCTCTTTCTCTGTCAGCCGCTTGAAATTCCCCCATCTTCCTCCTCCTCTTGTCTTCTCCTTGGTTGCCTCTCGACTCCCCCCTGTTGCAGGACCTTTAGGTGCTAGATGGGTGGTCGTCATCCTGTAAGCCCCCCTGTGCTGCTACTCCTGGCTCCCCTCTCCAGATTCCCTAGATTTTCCATCAGTTGGGCCAACTTCATGGCCTCCCCCAATTCACGGGGCATCAGGACCTTCACTGCTGATTGGATCTCCGCCTTCAATCCTTTCACAAAATTTTCCTCCAATGCTGTATCTGAGAGTCGCTTGACCCTACTAGCTAGGTGCTCAAATCGCTCCCGGTAATCTGCTACTAATCCCTCCTGTGTCAGAGCAAATAACTACTCATAGAAATCTTCTTCCCAGTTGGTTTGAAAATATTCTATTATGCAATCCTTGAATTCCCTCCAGTTCCTGATAGGCCTCCTCTGGTTTCCCCACTGATACCACGACAGGGCTTTTCCTTCCAAGCACAAGCCCGTTGCTGTTAGCTTCTCCTCCTCCGTTAGCCCATTGACGACGAAGTATCGCTACACCTTATAAATCCACCCATAAGCATCTTCTCATTCAAATATGGGCATCTTCAACTTCCTCACTTTCTGGTTGCCACCATTCCCCCTTATTTCCATAGTTTCCCCTCTCCCAAGTGCTAAGCCCACCCCATGTTTCCCGGTCTTCCCTTGCCCTGCCATAGCCCAAACCCCCTTCGAAATCCCCCTTTCTTTCTTCAAAATCAACACCTCAGCGGCCATAGTATCCCTCCTGACATTTCCCATATCCACCTCCTCTTGCCTCCTTCTGGACAGGCTCCCTTCATCTTCCATGATCTCCACCTCATCTTCTTCCCTAAGAATCTAAGAATTCTTAATTTTTCCTTCCATCCCTTTTGCCACTGAAGCCGCCGTTTGATTTTGAATTTCCAATATTTTCTTCATCATATCTCGGAGATAAGCAACTTATCCCTCCATGGAAGAAATCCTTTCATCCACCGTTGTTTTGATTTGATTCATCTCCCCTTCAAGCCTTTCCTCCAAGGCATCCACTTTTTGGCCACCATCATAATCCGGCCAAAAAAGTTGTTGTTTTTTTACTCCAAAATCCTGAATTTGTCGAAAACAACCCTCTACCGGTCCCAAGACTTGCTCTGATACCAATTTTATAGGAAATATTTGAGTTCGCAAGTAACCCTAAAGGAAATATTTGAGTTCGCAAGTAACCCTAAAGGAAATACTTGAGTTCGCAAGCAAACCTATCACTAATTGAAAATTATTTGGAGAAAGACATTTGAAATTGTAATAGTCTACTTGATTCAAGATCTTTGGTATTCTTGCATAAACTTTACCTATCATTGGATCAACTCCTAAAAA